GGCCTCACACCTCATATTGAACTGAGTCCCTGGGTGGTGTAAACGGTTAACATGCTCCGCTGGTAACCACAAGGTTGGAGATTCAAATCCACCCAGAAGCACCTCTGAAATCCTGGTGGCGCAGTGGTCAAGAGTTACACCTGCTAACCAAAAGGTCGGCAGTTCGAATCCACCAGGTGCTCCTTGGAAACCCTATGGGGCAGTTCTACTCTTTCCGATACGGTCGCTATAAGTCGGAACCAACTCAACAGCAACAGGTTAGGGGGACCTCAGAAGACAGGCCTGGTGATCTACTTCAGAAATATCAGCCATTGAAAATCCTACAGAGCACAGTTCTACTTTGACACTCATGAGGTCGCCGCTGAGTTGGAATCGACTCAACAGTAACTGGTAACTGGTCAAACTGAACATCAGTAGGTCCCTGCACTGTATCTGAGAACAGCTGATCTAGCCTAGTGGTTCTCAACCCTGGCCGCATACTAGAATCGCCTCGGGAGCTCTAGAAAATAGCAATGCCAGGGCCCTATCACCAGAGATTCAGATTTAATTGACTTGGGCAGGATCCAAGTGATTCTAACGCGCAGCCAGGTCTGAGAACTCCGAGTGTGGCAGATGGCTCTACATTCTGTTTCCCAAGCACAACCCTATTTCTCTGCCTCGTGCTGTTCTCTCTTCCTGGAGCTCTCAACCGTGCCATCTCCATACTGCCAAACCCTACTCATTCCACGAAGCCGGGCCCAGATAGTACTCTCTCTCACGCTGGTCTCTGCTTCTCTCCTCCTCTGAATTCTTGCACCATCTCTGTACGCGTCTCACTACACAGCTTTTCTTTATCACTTAGGTTTATTTTTTTATCTCCTAACTACATGATGTTTGTTATAATATCCATTTCTGATCCGTTTCATATCTTCTAGTGACCTGGAAAATGGTGGATGCTTAAAAAAATGTTCACGTGAAGGAATGATTGGGGCAGCCTAAGAGAGACTTTGCTTTTTATAGAAGCCACATGGGTGGCTGCTGTGGAGCTCGGGGCCAAACGAGACCCTTGCGTTGTTCTCTTTGTTAAAATGGGGCATCATGCAATGAAAAAGTGTTTCTCAAAGGGTGTTCCATGGAGTACTAGTGTTTTGTCATATATTAACACCTCGTCTGCGGAAAAACTGTTCTTTGACCAACAAAAAAAGAAATTGGGAAACCTTACACACCCCACAACTTTACTTTCCTCATCTGTAAAATGGGGATAATAATATCCCTTTACCACATGTCTGAAATCCCAAAAGCTCTGAAAGCTTAACGATTTGGTGATGAAACCTGACTTGAATGGAATTGAGGATATGTACGGCCTTTATTTACAGGAGTCCTGGTGGTGCAGTGGTTAAAGTGCTTGGCTGCTAATCAAGAGGTTGGCAGTTTGAACTCATCAGACGCTCCAAGGGAGAAAGATGTGGCAGTCTGCTTCCATAAAGATTATAGCCTTGGAAACCCCATGGGGCAGTTCTACTCTGTCGTACATGGTTGCTATGAGTCGGAATCGACTTGATGGCAGTGGGTTTGGTTTGGTTTATGGTCTTTATTTACCCACTTAGAATATTCTTCCATTTCACTGCACAAGTATGTCTTTGATGACAGGCTGCTGCCCCAGCCCATTGGGACGAGTTCTGCGATATGTTGTTTTACTTTTCAAATGTACAATGTCTGAATTCTGAAACGCACTTGACCTAAGGGTTTTTGGAAATAGGTTGTGAACCTGTAATAGTTACCTCATAGGTTTGTCATAGGTGTTCAAGAAATTAATATCTGTAAAGCAATTAGAGCATTGTGTGGTCCACCATAAGCTCTATAAAATTTTTGATAAATAAATGTTTCACGCAACATTTAACCCTAGAAACGAAGTAAAAGATAAACCACTTTGTGTCAGTATAGAGGTTGATGTACTTGGGGTCTCCATCTTCCACTGGGTTTCTACCATAGCTTTCCTGATATAAAGAAATGAAACATTAGATAGTAAAAGCCCCTTGGAATGGTGCCCCAATCCTCTCCTTACTCAGAGGTAACCACTATTCTGAGGTTAGTGTGAATATTTCCATGAAATGTTTCTAGATTTAAATATATATATTTGTGTGTGTATCCATGAGTATGTATTTTTTAAAGCTTTCTATAAATGCTATCACACTGTATCTATTATACAACTTTTTTTTTTTTTTTTACTAGATACTACCATTTTCATACAGGTTGTCACTGTTTTTTGTTAGTTGCCATTGAGTTGGCTCCAGCTCATGGCAACCCCAGGTGCAATGAACCAAACACTGCCGGGTCCTGGGCCTCCTTCACGATTGTTGGTATGCTCAAGTCCTTTGTTGTACCTACTGTGTATTTTGAGTGCCTTCCAACCTAGGGGGCTCATCTTCCAGCACTATATCAACAATGTTCTGTTGTGATCCATAGGGTTTTCATTGGTTGATTTTCAGAAGTAGATCACCAGGCCTTTCTTCCTAGTCTGTCTTAGTCTGGAAGTTCGGCCGAGACCTATCCACCATGGGTGATCTTGCTAATATTTGAAATACCAGTGGCATAGCTTCCAGCATCACAGCAACATGCAAGCCACCACAGTACGACAGACTGACAGATGGGTGGTGATGCATACAGGTAGTCTAGCTCAGTTCTCTTAAGGGCTCACAAAGTATGCCACGGTGCGGGTTTTCCAGTTTACTAACCCATGTCCTATAGATGGGCACTTGTTTCTCGTCGTTGGCTACTACAAATGCTGCAGTGATCATTCTCACGTGCACCTGCTTGTGCTCCTGTGGGAGAGCAAGTCCCTTGGACATACACCTGGGAGTAGGATTGCTGGGTCATGCGTGCACGTTTTAACTTTACAAGACAATGCCAATATGCTCTCCAACATGGTGTGTCGGTCTATATACCCACTGCAGTGTGAGTTCCTGTTCTTTCCATCCTGGCCCACACTTGTGTTTTCACACTTTTCAAGCCTTTGCTTACTTTCTCACAGTCTTGGAGGCTAAAAGTCCAAATGAGGATCTCGGCCATTTCGATTCTTTCTTTGTCGGTATTCCTTGGTTCCTTTGCTTGCAGGTGATCCTCACATGACATCTGTCTTCCCCTGTGTCTACTCTGCTCTTTTTATAACTCAGAAGTGATTAGGTTGTTAACATAGCAAACACACACACATCCTATTTCCAAACAGGATTACATCTACAGGATAGGGGTTAGAATTCTAACACATATCTTGTTGGGATGCAATTCAACCCATAACACAAGCCTACTGCAGAAAAGATGTTCCATCTCACTGATAATCGGAGAATTGTAAATTAAAACATGAGTGGTATTTCCCACAGATTTTTCTAGGACTAGCCAGAGAGCTAGAGACTTTTAGTTAAGCTCTGCCTGCTCAGGTACTCTCAGTACCCATGAGGGAGAACAGCCAGAGACTATTGTCAACAAACAAAAGCAAAATTGGGATTAAGAAGAGAAAGGGGAGAGAAAAAAATCCACAGGCAGAATGGGAACAGCGGGTCTTGTTTTCACATTTCTTGGGTAAACAGATTTGTTGGCAGCTGGGAAAGAGGTCAGTCTGGCAGTCCAGCCTTGAGCTGGCTTCTAGTTGTTTACGGTTCTCAGAACACCCATGTGAGTTCAACCAAGGAGTCTGCACCTATCAGAACGGTCCCTGCCTCCTTGCAGCTCTTTGGGAGAAAGCTCAAACTCATTTGTTAGGCACCCTTTGTGATCTGAGCAGTACTGCAGCTCTGGTGTTCTCTCTAGCCAGCACCCAAAGGGACTCTCTGCCCAGCCTCACCAACCACTTGTAGTTCTCCAAACACGAGAAGCTATTTGACAGCTCCTGACCTTCCCTGCCGCTCACCTTCCTCCTCCTCCTCACCTGTGTACAGTGGGCTCAACTGGGGGCAATCCCTCCCCACCCCCCAGACCTTCGGCAATGTCTGGAGACACTTGTTTGTTACAATGGAGGTAGGGAAGTGCTACTGGCATCTAGCCGGTAGAGGCAGGGATGCTGCGAAATATCCTACGATGCATAGGACAGGTCCTCTAAACACCCCCATCCCCCGCCAGCAAAGAAGTATCCGGCCACAAACGTCAACGTTAACAGGGCTCTGCACTGAAAAACCCTGACCTCATGTCTCTCTCCTCTAGCAGGGCACAGGTCGCCATGACTGTCACTGCAGACCTGCCTGCCTCCCCTCCTAGAATTAAGCTCCTTGTGGGAAGAGACTCAAGTTTAGCTAACTTTCCATCCCCAGAGCCTGGAATGGAAGGGGCTCAAATATCTGCTGAACAAATGAATGAACAAGTCATGGGTCCCTCTGGTCACAAATCACGAGACACACGTGGGAAGAAGGAAGGGTGGAAAAGAGGTGTCAAGAGGCCAACCTGAGACTTCCATTGGCACGCTGGCATTTTTTAAAGGAAGAGAGTAAATGAAGTCATCCTTTATTGACTCCTTCCCACGTGGCCTGCACTGTGTGTTTTAGGCACTAACTCCATGTAGGAAGTCCCTGAGTGGCAGAAGCAGTTAACGCACTCAGCTGCTAACTAAAAGGCTGGAGTCCACCCAGAGGCGCCTTAAAAGAAAAGGCCTGGCGACCTACTTCTGAGAAATCAGCCACTGAAAACCCTATGGCGCACAGTTCTACTCTGACACACGTGGGGTCGCCATGAATCGGAACTGACTTGATGGCAACTGGTTTTTAACTCAATGTAGTCCTCAGAATGAGCTCGTAAGGAAGAATGATTAATACGCCATTTCAAAGCAAGAAAGCGACGCGCTGAGAGGCGAAAGGGACTTGTTGGCATGACAAAGCCAGCAGGGATGGGACCAGCACGGTCGTTTCTTTGGGGGAAGGTATGAGAGAGCTATGTAAAGAGAAAAATCTCACTCTCAAATGGCTAAAAACCGGCTGCAATTACAGACGGTAGTTTGCATTTGTACCCGAGTCATGTTTATTTTATATTTAGGCATATGAGTTTAAGATGAGAAAGAGAAATAATAAAGCTTTGAAATTTTAGTCATGTGTCACCTCAGGGGAAAGTTCATTCTGGATTTTGTCTGCAATGCCCAAGCACAAATTGAAACTCGAGTAATGAAATAAGCTTGGAAAAATAAGCACCCGGGGCTGATGCAAATAATATATTTGTCCCAGAGCGAGGGCTGCAATGTAAATCTGAGCGTTTGGAGGGAGAAATATGTCAATACTGAATCTTTTCCCCAGCCTTTGATGGATGTGCTAATTGTGGCAGGTCAACACGGGCGCACCCTGGCAACGCACTGTAATAACTTATTTAAAAGGTGGTTGGTTTTCATAAATGGACTGTTACACCAATTCTTAGATTTTTATTCTCAGAAATGAATATATTCCCCTATCAAAAAATATCTGCTATATATAGTGAGGAGCCCTGGTGGCTCAGTGGTTAAGAGCTCGGCTGTTAACCAAAAGGTCGGCAGTTCGAATCCACCAGCCGTTCCTTGGAAAATCTATGGGGCAGTTCTACTCTGTCCTATAGGGTCACTATGAGTCAGAATCAACTCGACAGCAGTGGGTAGGTATATACAGCAAGAACTCAATTATGCATTTTCTACACCAGAGAAGCCTACAGAGGTGACCAGGTTTGGGAATTATTACTCGTGGCTCTCAATTCTGTATGCCATTCAAACTCTGTGGAGATGACAATAATAATCATGCTATGCAGATGACTTTTGTTCCATTAGAGCAGGGATGGGCAAACTACAGCCTGCACGCCAAATCTGGCCCATGGCCTGTTTTTATAAATAAAGTTTTACTGGAACACAGCCACGCCCATCTGCTTAGGTATCCTCTTTGGCTGCTATCACACTACAAGGACAGAGTTGACAGTCACAACACATACGGCTTGCAAAGCCAAAGGTATCTGCTCTCCAGCCCTTTATAGAGCAAGTGTATGAGCCCTGCATTAGAGAGAAGTACTATTTACTTACTTGACTGCATGCTTGAATCATTTTCTGTGGGATCGAAAGGAGCTGGCATTGGAGAGGACCCCTGGCTTATTTAAGGCATATGCATAGTTCAGCTGGGTAAAAGAGAGAAGAAAATATCAAAAGGCAAAAAACTAGGCAGCATCTGCAGGTAAGAACTTTAATGAACTGAGCCCTACTAATGACAATATTTAAAAAAAGCATAATATATAAGAAATGATCATTTTCTGTCAAGAGAGAATATTTCATGATGGCAATAGTACACGAGAGAATATCTCATGATGGTGACCCACCACCCCTCCATGTGGCTGATGTATGACACCCACCCCTAGGACAGGCACACTGGGACTTTGGTGAACACCCCTTTCCCTGAGAACACACAACAAAGGGGATGAAGAGAGTGTACCAAGTGGAAGGGGCTCAGAACTTCAGGGGGATGACTGGCCAGTACTTGGGCCGCTTGAGATCACAGTGCTTGTTGAAACTCAGCTGCACCGCGGCCTCCATGGCCTGGATCTTGGCGGCACTGTCCCCATACAGCCGCTTCATCTCGGCCTGGCGCCTCTCACTGGGGCTCTCGGACGGGGGCTCCGCTGACCGGTGGGTGTTGTAGTACAGGTCGTGGTCGGCGTTCACGTAGTCGCCCAGGCGCTCAGCGTCCAGCTGCTGCTGCCGCCCTGAGAATCAATACACAGGAGAGAAGCAAGGTGAATTCGGCTTCTGACAGATGGGCTGGCTGCAGGCCCCGGGTGCCCTCGGCCGACCTTTCAAACTGAAACTGCCCGCTGTGCTGGCTGAGCCGCCGTGCTCTCAGGATTCTGCGGATTGTCTGCTTATTGCGAAGCTCCCTGTTCACTGTCAGAGGTTCTACACTGATAGGTGCCATGGAGTCGATACCAACTCATGGCAACCCCATGTGACAGACTAGAACTGCCTCGTAGGGTATCCTAGGCTGTAATCTTTACAGGAGCAGGTCACCAGGTCTTTCTCCCAGGGAGCTGCTGATTGGCAGTCTGAACCCACCTTTCAGCGAGCAGTTTGGTGCTTAACTGTTGTGCCACCAGGGCTCCTTTATACACTCATAGAAATGGCAAAAAGCCACAAGGAAACACAGCACCCCAAACTACCAAACCTGTGGGAGGGATGAATAGGAGGAATGCAGGGCATTTCTGGGCAGTGAAACTATCCTGTATGACACTCTAATGGTGGTGAAGAGGGTATATGGGAACTCTGCACTTTCTGTGCAATTTTTTCTGTAAAACTAAAATTGCTCTCAAAAATAAAGTCTACTAAAACAAACAAACATAAACCACCAAGCCTCTGAGATGAGCCTTGAAAATACAGAAGAAAAATCAAACCACCTAGATTCCTCCCTTTCCACCTACACGCCCCCCCGCCCCCGACCCCCAGCCTGCCCAGGTAGGAAGGTGTCATGGATTGAATTGTGTCCCCCAAAAAATGTGTGTATCAATTTGGCTGGGCCTTGATTCCAAGTATCGTGTGGCTGTCCTCTATTCTGTGGTTATAATTTTACGTTAAAGAGGATTCGGGTGGGACTGTAACACCACCCTTACCCAGGTCACGTCCCTGATCCAATGTAAAGGGAGTTTCCCTGGGGTGCGGCCAGCACCACTTTTTATCTTACAAGAGATAAAAGGAAAGGGAAGCAGAGAATTGGGGAACCTCATACAACCAAGAAAGCAGTGCCAGGACCAGAGCACATCCTTTGGACCTGAGGTTCCTGCCCAGAGAAGCTCCTAGGCCAGGGGAAGACTGATGATGACGAGGACCTTCCTCCAGAGCCAACAGAGAGAGAAAGCATTCCCCTGGAGCTGATGCCCTGAATTTGGACTTGTAGCCTACTAGACTGTGAGAAAATAAATTTCTCTTCGTAAAAGCCACCCACTTGTGGTACTTCTGTTGGAGCAGCACTAGGTGACTAAGACAGAAGGGTTGACAGAGCACGCTTGGTTTAAGCTTCCAGGAAATCCAGTGTTACAGGGATGGTCCCAAGCCCCACAAGTGAGGTGGTGGTGGTGGGGGAATCACACCTTTGGGACAGGCATTGCTTTTACGCAACCCAGACAGATCCTAGACGCTAGAGAATGCTACGCTGGTCCTGTCACAAATTCAAAACACAAATCATACCAGGCGGCCAAAGGTTAAGTGATTCAACACTTGTGGAAGGTAAAAGGGCAAAGACAGGGCAGTTCTGCAAATGAAATTACAACCTCTGACTTCTCATCCTCCTGGGATATGAAGGATTCTGCAGGTCTGTAGATTTTCACACTGTGGGACTTGACTGCATTTCACAGGCTGGCCTTGGTTAAATTTCATGAGATATATTTCTATACTTTTCACCCTACTACTTTCAATGGATTCTTGTAAAGCAACAAATACTTATACATTATACTGTCCGCTCTATATTTTTTACTCTAGCAATTCCCAATATTATAATTTTTGTTTTTATGTAAATAGCAACAATATAAAAATACCAATGAAACAATGTTGCATAAGGTAAAATTCAGCCAACTAACATCGATTCTGTCCTAAGCATCTCTGCCAAGAACAGAGACACTGGTCGCAGAATGCGCATATCTCTATCGACTACTGCTACCAAATTTACTAAATAAGGAGTAAAGAAGGTTGCAGGGGAATAAAACAAAGATACAAGTCATGCTTTCCTCACTTAAAAAAAAATAAAAAGCGTAGCAGAAGGAAAGATCAGTGGAAACATGGGTACGCCCTCCACTAGCACGTGAGAGGAAACACAGTAGTGAGCTCATCAAGGGTAAATCAGTGGCTATCGAATTGATTCTGACTCATGGCGACCCTACGTGTGTCAGAGTAGAGCTGTGCTCCATAGCGTTTTCCATGGCTGATTTTTTGGAAGTAGATCACCTGGCCTTTCTTCCAAGGTGCCACTGAGTGGACTCGAACCCCAACCTTCGGTTAGCAGCAGAGCATGTTAACAATTTGCACCACCTGGACTCCTCTTCAAGGGTAAATGGGAAGATATTTACCTGACTCTGCTCTCACAAACTCGCAGATCTTGCTCTTTATAAATATCACCTTACAGCTGGAGGGAAGGAGTTTGATAAATTTGAAAACATTATTAAAAATGTACACATTTCTAGCGAAACAAAACATCTGGAAACAGGAGGGGGAGTGAGTAGAATCACGTATGTGGCCCTTTCTGCCTTAGAACATCTGTGGTTTGTTTTTACATAAGGAAGTAATACATGGATGAGCCAAACGACTGTCAAACAAAATAAATGAAATGTTACTGTTACCTTATCCAGGGAAAAGCGAATATATATTAATTGATGTACTGTGAAACGCAGAACTAAACCAAAATAAATGGATAATATGCCAATGGATGGAAGGCCAACTAGTGTTATTTTTTTTTTAACTTTCTCGCTCTTTCAGCCATGTCTGAAACATCAGTACATAAGTTCTTCAGTTATCCTGGGTTTAAATTCTATGCCCCCCAAAGGACATCCTGTTGGAGTAGTGTGCGAGTGATGAACTCGGTCCTAATTAGCCAGGGAAAATGGCCATTTCTAGACGTTTCTCTGACTTCCAAGGTAACTTCCAGGGAGAGGAAAAAAATTAAGAGGGCTAAAGAAAAGCACCCCACCATTGCCATGTCTGCTTCTTAGTTCCACAAGTGAAACAGTGTGGTTGGCCAGTGGTCCCTAGGTATCCCTGGAAATTCTGTGTGTTGGCACCGGCGCTGAGGTGGGGTGGGGGCACAGTGGGGACCAGCTCCTCCCTAGGGAAGTCTCACTCTTTTTCTCCTCCCTCCTTCCTGTGAGAATTCAACACTGGTCTTTTTTGGTACTTCAGACTTTGAAGAAAGCTTAGTTTGATGCTTTCAGAAGGAAGAGGAAATGAAAGGTGACTTGGGACACTGGATTTTGGGGTGGGCAGTTAGACTGGTAAATATGTTCAGAGTCACTAAGAGAACGTACAGGCATTTCACACGCATCTCCTCCAAAAGCAGTAAGAGCACTTTTGAAGAAACTTGGCCAGGCAGAGGAGCAGGCTGACGGGCTGTGCCTTGGCGTTCCAGTAAAGATGGAATCTGACTAAAGGATCTCTGGTTCAAGGACTACTCTTCTGATGGGTTGGGGTTTCCACCTTAGTGAGGAACAACAGAGTCTCTCTGCCACCTATGAGCAGACTCGGACCGTTCTAATCCTCCTCTGGCCCTGTTGAGAGACCGCCTGTGGGGCTGCGGTGCCTCCGAGGCTCTGCACGCAGAGTGTAGAGCCCTGTGGTGAGAGGTGCCCAGCCTACTGCCCTCCATGTGTCTTCTATCTGCCCCAAGACTATCACCAGTGTCACCAACAGATTCAGTGACACAACAGGTGCTCGGCTTCCTGTCTGAATACGAGTCATTACTAAACACCGGAATCTTAGCTCTCTGTGGTGTTCCCTGCCATCAGGAGATATATGTGACTTCTCCTTTCTACTTCTGCATCTCTATTTTTTTTCCCTTATAATTTCACATGTTTACCATGATGTTCTCTTCTGCTACCCTCCTGACAAAAACCATTTGACAGATATTCAGTATACCATGGACTGCCAGAAGAACGAGCAAATCTGTCTTGGAAGAAGTACAGCCAGAATGCTCCTCAGAAGCAATGATGGCAAGACTTCGTCTCACGTACTTTGGACATGTTATCAGGAGAGACCAGTCCCTGGAGAAGGACATCATGCTTGATAAAGGAGAGGGTCAGTGAAAAAGCTGAAGACCCTCAACCAGATGGATTGACACAGTGCCTGCAACCATGGGCTCAAGCATAACAATGATTGTGAGGATGGTGCAGGACCGGGCTGTGTTTTGTTCTGTTGTACATGGGGTTGCTATGAGTCGGAACCGACTTGATGGCACCTACAACAACAACAACAATACCAATTCTAGAGAGAGGCATCTTCTCTTATTGTTGACACGTGTGGATGAGATGCTACCATAAAGCAGCCCCAGTGGCACTCAATGAAAGCAGGTGACTTCCCAAGTTGGCACTCAGCATGTGCTCATGGGCTCCCATCACAGAGCTTTAGTTCTTAGTGAAGTTCACTGAGTTTCTGTTTAAGGTGATGGAGAATATGGCAACGGAGACTGGTGATGGCTGCACAACATGATTAATGTAGTTAGCATCACTAAATTGTACAAGTGAAAAATCTTGAACTGGCAAATGTTGTATTCTATATATCTTTATGACAATAAAAAAAAAGAGATAAAAATTCTGGGTATTATGCCAGCATCCCAGTAACAGTATTTTGCAAAACAATAAAAAATCAAGTTTGTACAGTTTACGAAAAAAAGATATAGCCCTCTGTTCTCAGTTCTCGTATTTCCTTCTCACCCAGGCGTCATCATGAAAATTCAAGGCCAGACCTTACCCCCTCCCTGTCCCTCAAGAGATTGGGAGATTTCATGGTTTCCCACACAGTTGTCCCCAAAACACACACGTGAATGGTGAGAAGCCTGCTCCCCAGCACTGACAGGCCTGCTGGCACTGGAGTACCCACCGCGCAGGGTCCTCCGTGAGGACACGCAGCAGGTGCTCTGGGAAGGACACAGGCCAGACCTTATTTTTTGAAAACAACTATTTCCTTCCAGATGTTGTCAAAGAAAGGTCAAAATGACGACAACCCAGGAACAGAG